TGGAAATCAAACCCAGGGCTTTGTACTTGTTAGGCCACCACTGAGCTACATACTCAGACCTTTTTATTTTTTTATTTTGACACAGGGTTTTGCCAAATTGTCCAAGCTGACCTTGAACTTGTTTGTAATCCTACTGCCACAGGCTGAGTCACTGGGATTAAAGGCATGTGCCACATTTTCTTAAAATCCAAGAAAGCAAAATAAGACACAGATCTTGCCTTCTTAACTAGCTGTTCCTCAACACTAAAATGAGCACAGAAAGGGAGCAGCTCTGGATTCAAGAGGAGCCTGAGCTGAGGGTACTCTCTTTGGAAGGCACCATTTTACAGTCCCTTCTGCTCTGGGTGGTAAAAACCTAAATAAATAGAAGTTGTTTATATTGTTAGTGTGTGTACAGCATTATATTTGTCCAGGCATTTTATATTATGTAGCTCAAAATATCAAAATGTTTTTTTAAAAAGTATGATATTGATTCCAGCCTAACAAGGCTAAAACAAGTTGTGTGTTCTGTCCCACATCTAGATTTCACCTATATGGAAAAGAAGACCCACAGTACCATCTTTGGGAATAGGGGGCTACTGACATCAAAAGAATCAGTTATAAAGGGAATAAACTAACAGAAAGGAAAAGAGTCATTGCTGCGGTTTCATATCAAGTCTGAAAACTTTTGAGATGTCCAGGTTAACATATTCTGCTTCATTTTCCCTGGCTCAAGCTGCAGCCTACATCTGCTACTAACAGTGAATAAGAAAAGTAAAAACTTGGGAGAGGTTTCCTGCTAGGTAGCCTAAGTTATTGCCATTTTAATTTAAAGTGAATTTATTTTATTCTTAATATGTAATAATGTGTTTAGTGGCTTACAAAGGATTTATTTAATAGCCCCCAAAACTGAATAATTACTAATTTGTGCATTTCTGGAAAATGTAATTACTCAATGTATTCAATAGAAAAACTACTCTGAATTTCATTTGTACAGGTGATAAATTGGTCCATCCACAGAGCAAGTCAAATGGCAGAACTGGAATTCAACCTGTTTCCTGTCCTCTTTTTAGTAAGCATTGCTGGGTTCCCAAAGTTCTCTGAATGACATATTCGTAATTTGTGCATTTCTGGATAATTAATTTCTCAACTGAATTACCTGTTATCAGTCCTACTGAAACCTCTTTATTTGTACACCAACTATATGCCAGGTACTGCTGACCACTTTGTATAAGTCAGTCAATAGAAAGTTTCTGCCTTCCTAAATCTTACTATCTAGAGAGCAGACAGATGATAAGCAAGAAAATTAGGTTAGATGATCAGTGCTGAGAAAAAAAACACAAAAAGTAAAGTAATAAAGACTGGGAGGGCTGGGAATGGGTGGGTATACTGAAATATTACAGAAGTACTTGGGAGTAGACCTCCTTGAATGACACCTGAGCTGAGACCTGAAGGAGGTTGGGAATTAGCTAATGTAGGCGCCTAAAATATGACTGTTTCTTTTATTCTTTGAATACCATGTGCATATTGCTTAAATCAGGCAATAAGCAATCACTATTGTTTTGCTGGAATGATGTGAGCAAAACAATAGTGATTGCTTATTGTTTTGAGCCTACTAGGAGATGAATTCAGAATTACTTTATGCAAATTTTGGGAGCTAAGTACCCTAAACAGATTTCCTAAGGATCTTAAATACATTATTGTTAGAATAGATGATACCAGCCTGCTGAATGTGCAGCATGACTTAAGTCTCTTGTCAGTCACTGTAGAAAATTATGCACACCTGCACCCATGTTGAAATGTGTTCCATGATTTCCTGAAGGTGATCACTTCCTGCTATGACACCTGGAAAATGATCAGCCATGTGTGTTTACAAAGTACCAAAGTGTCCATAACTGTAATAATGAAAGAAAAAAAGGAATATGAGCTATGGTCTGTATCACAATAGGGCAAATAAGCTTACATCAATGGTCTCAGAGCTTTGGGGACAAGGACTATTTATCTTTTTTCTTCCCCATATACTAAAATAACTGAGAAAAACAAATTTTGGATCTCTGTCATCCCCAGGGATGTTACACCACAGGCTGTATTGACCAAAAAAGTATGTAAACCTTGCACTGTTATAATATTCAGGTAAATGAAGGGATAGGGTGGGCAGTTGGGCAGCAGGCATGATCTAAAAAATACTTGATATACTCAGAGCTGAATTGAGGAGACCACCTTGACTCATCAAGGGAAAAATAGATCAGTTCCTGAAAATACTTGGTACATTCATAGATCTAAAAATAATAAAAGAAAATGAATGCCTGGGGCTTATTTAATCTGTCAAAGTAAAAATAGCCAAAAACAAAACAACAACAAAAAAACACAAACAAACAAACAAAAAACCCAGCTAGAAAGAGTTGATTAAAATTTAGTGTAAAAGAGTACTTGCCTAGTAGATGCAAGACTCTGGCTGGAGAAAGTCTGTGTGTACTGTGAACACACACACACACACACTCATCTATTATTACATGAAATCAATTACCAACCATGTTATTTACAAGAATGCCTTAATGTTTTCATTGCTACAGCTGACTTGATGCTGTATCCATGGACAAGAGTTGTAAACAATTTCAAAATCAAACTACACCTATCATATTTAATGGGTTAATGACACAAATAGTGCACAAAGTTGTAACCTTAAAAGTGTAAAATTCCCAAGGCAGCTGGCAGTAACTGACAGCTGTGTCTAAAGGGCCACTGCAGTGCTCAGGGAGCTTCAACAAACAACCTTGGGAGGTAGTATTCACATTAAACAGGGACTGTTGCGAGTGTAACAGGCCGTGAACTTGTCTGCCTAGTTACCACTGGATATAGTTAATCATTATTTGTTTTGCTCTTTGGCAATCTTAACTCTGATTGCACAATATAATCTACAAACCTTAAATGATGCACAAAGTTTGGAAGAAAACAATTCAGCACTGGGACAAGGGGTAATTGTATAAAGTAGAATAAAAGAAATAGGGTTTCACAAGTGGAATTTTTTTTTCTAGTCTCCAAAGTTAAGGGCCATATTAGGGTGTGTTAAATCTGGATGACACAGGTACTGTTTATGTCTTTTCATAGAAGGGACAGCTTCAACTTCTACATTAAGTAAAAGGAGAGAATAAGTCTGTTTTGATTATTTGTGAACAACAATGAAAAAAGGAACCAGTACCAAGTCCATCAGGACAACACATGAAAATCAGCTACTCTTGGCAAACTTGGATATGTTATGCACATACAGTTGAGAAGTTTCTACTAAAGTATATGGGAAGAGATAAAGGCTCACTCATCTCTGAGGATGACGTCCTATTGGCCTTCAAAAAATGAATGACAACTTTTTTGAAATATCATTTTAACTTTATTCCCAGATAGAAGCACTGGAGTAAGTCAATTCATCTAACATGGAACATGGAGTACAGAGTCCAAGTTAATGGAAGGATACTTTCTCAACTATTTTTAATTCATGAGAAGCCTCACAATGGCCTGAAAACACTAAGAAGTGTTAAAAGCTAGACCAGAAGGAAGCATGGGAGTAGTGCTGATAAACACTACATTCAGTTAAAAGATCAAATGCCAATAAAGCATAGAAGTATCCAGCTTGGTTTTGCCTCTGAACTTGGCTGTAAAATTTTATATATCCATAAATCAGAGAGCAGGTCTAATAGTATGTAATATGCCCCAATTAAGGATAGAATTTTCCCACCTGGATAATAGAGGTGAGTAGGACTAAAATAAGCAAAGGCCTCCTGGGAGAGACAGAGCCTCTAAATTCATTGTAACCCTTTGGTTCATCCATAGCCTGCAATCTCTAGTACCACAGGAGTGTTTCAGATATGTAGGGAGGGGTGAATCCACCATGTTTTCTTTATAACATTCATCCAATCTCATTCATCAATAGTGGATAAGTCTGTTAGTTTCAAAATATAGACTATATCTCAATAACTCAAATATTAGCTTTCTTCAGCTTTATTATAGAATAGCACCCTGATATTTTTGTTAATAATGATGTGTCCATTTTCAATGCTTTGATTGAAATTCCTTCAGACCTTTTCATTTTCTGAAAAATTATGTGGTGCCTTCTGGGTGTGAGCTGCTTCTTTTCCTCTCCATCCTGACTTAACTTTCCCAAGCAATATATCCGGCATGGCTTGGTGGGTGGTATAATCCTGCCATGGCTCTTCTATTAATGCCTACTTCCTTTTTGGTAACTTTGTTATAGTCCTTAAAACTCTACAGAGGAAGATAACATCTGGGGATACAGTTGCCAAGAGATCAAGGAAAGTTAGAATTGGGTTTCAGGTTCTTTGAACAGAGTTTCTACTCATTTTGCAGTTGTTTGTTCTCTCATACAACTTGCACCCCCATAGTACACCCACAGATCCACATACTAGTTTCTCAATGAACAAAAGACTCTGAGATGGTCAGAAGATACCAAACTTGTTCTGATGCCAGGAGCCTTACTTATTGCTATCTGTTGTTCTGGGAGATAGTGGCCTTATATGGACCAAACTGTAGTGGAAAAAAATAAAGCGTGCTTGGAACTTCCAGCAGAGCCTGGTGCAGAGAGCAAACTTCAGTGTGCAGCAGAATCATGAGGAAATTGTTCAAAATTAGACACCTACGCTATGATTCTGAGTCAGCTAAATCTGGGACGAGGCCCAGACATCTTCATTTGTAATTAGGACAAACCTACCCCATCCCAATACTCTGATGCAGGCAGTCTTTCAACTCAGCTTACAGAAAAACAGTGACACAGCACTTATCTGCAGAGGAGAAAATTGTGTACACATCACCACGGCACCAGCCACGCTGCCTCACATAACACTCACCCTCAGATAGCAACTACCTGGTCAGTAGAGAGCTAAGTAAACATGCACCTGACCCTATGTGAGTATTCAATAACAGTCACCCCCACTCAAAGTTTTGTTTTTTAAAAAACAAACGCTGTCTATTCAAACGCATACCCAATAAAGGCAACATTTCTGAATTCAGGGTATATTTTTAAGATAAGCAATTATTTTATTTCCTTGGCCTAACAGCAGTGACTTCATTATACAAGAACCTGTAGCTGACAGACTAGACAACACAAATTTCCCAACAGGAAGAATCCTTATCATCAGCAGAGATGAACTGAAATGTCATGTCTGAGTGCAATTCCTGCTCCCCACGCCCCACCCCACAGAACCCCAAAATGGAAAAAAAAAATCAATAAAATCCCCATGAATTACTAAGCCATCCCTCCGGAACTCTTCTAATTAGCAGCTTCAGTGGATGAAAACTGAAGGAGGGAAGCAGCTGGCCATCACATAGCATTCCTGTGCCTGTGAGACTGAAGGGGCAGCAGCAGGGGAGCAAGAATTCTGGATGAATGGGAGGTGAAGATAATCTATCTTTCCTCTATCTGCCTCCTCCATATGGAAGACACCTCTTTCCCAGTACATGGAAAATACTAATGAAATGCTAAAAGACTGTCTTTAGCTTGTAACTAGAAATGCCTGAGGCTCATGAAATTCCAAGATAGGTGTGGGATAAGGGGTATCAGAGAAAGAGCAAATTGGTCAGAGATGCTCAATGCTCATTCAATTCCAGTTTAAAGCATTCAAAGCTACTTCATAATCATAACCACCTTCATGCCTGCCCTATATTTTCCAAAGGTGAAAAAGCTCCATCTAAGTGTCTGTGTAGATATCTACTGCCACCACCAGGGTGATACTGTGACATCTGTGTGTGAGATGAGGATGGGAGTGTGGGGTGGAGTGGAAAAATAGGAGAGATCAGGGGCTACAAAGCTTCCATTATAGTGGATAGTTTTGGTCCCCAGGTATGGTCCACTACCACAAGTCCTAAAGCATTCCTGTTTCCTTTTCCCTACCCATCTTGTGTAAATGTCAAAAAAAAAAAAAAAAAAAAAAATGAAATTCTGCCCAAAGAGATGGGAGCCGTTGCTGGACTGCATTCATTTTGGGCCTCAACCTGCCCACCTCCTGAACCTCCTATGAAATTGCACAAAAATTCTCAGCACTGCTGTGAAATTATGTCATCCCCATTCCTCTGTCAATGTCAATTCAACAGCTCTGTTCTGACATACTTTCTCCTTGGGCTGAAGAAACAGCAAAAAACATCAATTGAGCATGTGAAAATATGACAGTGTGTGCAGTGTAATGTTTCCCGATGTCTTCACCTTCTGTTTCCTCCGTGGTGGGAGCTTTCCCTCTCTTCCCCCAAGCCCCACTCGCACCCCTCCCCTACCCCCAAGTCCAGGTGCTCCCATCTGCTGGGCTTCTGCCACTCACTTCCCATAGACACTCTCATCACTGTAGGCCACATACAGAAAATAGTCTTCCTCATGGTTGTCCTACGGGAAAAGATAAGATGACAGTTTAGAAAACATACACATTCATCATCCTTAGAATTCCGAGCCTCACACAACCTTATAAATTAAGTATGAAAGTTATCATTAACTCCTATTAAAAACAGGAACAGGGCAGGGCATACAGCACAGCAGTTGAGCCCTTGCCTGGCATATGGGAGGCCCTGGGTTCCAAATCCAGCACTGCAAAAAAACAACAGGAGTAAAAGAAAAAGTCAACAACAAAGACGGAGACACCAGTTAGTTAGAATTCAACTTTGAGCTCGAACTTCACAAACAAAAAAGTCTTGATGGAGAAAAGAATACACACAGGTCATAGGATATAAAGATGATGGCCCTTAAAAAGCTAATTCTAGTAAAAAGAACGAAGATACCAAATGTGGAATATATTTTCACAGGGAACATATGCTAGGGAATAAAGGTTAGGCCAGCGTTTATTAAATGTTCACATAATTAACTAACAGAGCACATGAGAAGGAAGTCTGTGTGAAACCCTTCAAGGAATAATATAGTTACAATCTTGGGTTGTATCCCCAGTATGATAATGTCCTTTACTGTAGTTTTTCTTAAAACTAGATTCTGACCATTTGCCATTAAATCAACCAAATCACATATAACACTAAATTTATCTGTTAAGTGAATAAATTTAAAGACTTTGTCTTAATTTTAAATTGTATTTTATCTGTGTCCAGATAATGATAAATCTCCTCCATGGTCTTAGTTTAAGAAGAAAATCTTCCCTAGGTGGTTGTCCTAAGAAACTCTTCACAGAGTTTATATGGAAATAAACTGTGAAGATTCCGCTTCAGTTTGAGGATTTTAGCTTCAGAGTTTGTTTGCCCAATATGTTGATAAATGAGAATAACATAATAAACTGGGGTTGAAATACATAGTTCTCTCACAAATGATATTTTATCAACAAGAATAACAGGAACTGTGAAGGGTAGACACTTTTCAAGTTTTTTCTATCAGGAACAATTTACTGCTGCTTCAATAAAGGTGATCCAGATTAAAACACTATGGTCAAGAAAGACAGAAAAGAATTCAAAAGGATTATATCTAATAGGGTGCTCAATCACTGAAGGACAAGTGGTCTCTCATCTGCAGAGCCTTACACTGCCATGTGTAAGAGGATCCTGATAACACCTCCTGCTCTACTTCTCAGGTGTGTTATCAACATACACTGGAACAAAAGCTAGCGGATGCCAGACTGTTCTTATTGTTTTGACCAGAACCATTACCTCATACAGCTGGCCCATGGTAGCACTAGTAGGAGGGATAGTGTTGTTGACAAAGAAGAATAAGGCGTCCTCAGGTCTCAGGTGGATCCTCTTCCGGATTAAGAAGTAGAACTGGCCAACTGAATAAAGGAAAAGGAAAAAGGGGCAAGAAGAAAACAAAGGATTAGTAGAAAGATAAGTACCAGAAAAAAATTTCTATTTTAACTTTCTAGAGTTAAGTATCACCTTTATATATCATCTGAACAGAGCGAAATACTTTCCAAGAGCTTTAGTAACTTAAAGAGCCTATGTAGACCCTGGCACTCCACAGTGGAGTTATTTCTCATTGCTCAATTGCAGACCTAATGCTAGCATTTCCCCTCAGTCTGAGGAAATACTGTGCATATATAGACCAAAACCTTCTCATTATGATCTAAAACTGACTTGAAATCCCTTTCCATCCCCACTTGCAACTTTAGACAAAGTAATGATAGAGTTCCACTGGTCTCTGGTAATCATAGCACAGACATTCAGTGTTAGGACAATGAATGGGTTCAATAACTAACCTCTTCCTGAAAATGCTGAGAAAGTTCTAGAAGGTCAATCTGAATGTATTAATTCTAGATCAAACGTACCTATGGAAATATCCCCAGTGTATCTTGGATGCAGTGGGTATTCCATTAAGTCTCATGGTAGAGAGTGAATATATTCATATGATTCCAAAAACAATTTACAAAACCTGTTATAAAACTACCATTAGGCGATAAGCTATTTAGTTCAGAATTTCCTAAAATTTAATACTATCAAGAAATGGGCTGATTTTCTTTTGGGAATGAATTGCTATTACAATTATGAGGCTTAATTTTAAAAGCAGTCTAAATGATGAATGTCTGATCTCTTCTTTCAAAGTTTTTTGCTTGGCTGTAACTAAATCAAACAAGACATGGTGATGGGGAATGGTATAGGGAACTGGAGATGACAGAACTATTATGTCATTTTTGAATCAGATAACTCTGAAAATCCCACATGCTTTCTTCATCTCTCATGCATGTGATAAGGACCAAGAATATTTTGTCATGAAATGAAGGGTCAGGGGAGGGAAAGAGTATTACCAGTGAGGTCAGAGGGCACTAGGTACTTCCTCTTGTCCAGATCAGGCACCCTGGCTTTCGGAGCCTTCTCCACAATGACCTAGATGGAGAGTAGGGAAGTGGAAATGAAAAACTACAGAACCCAACATGGTGTTTTTCCTTCCACATCCACAGTTGTAATGATGGAAGTGAGACTGTCTAGGCCTAATACAACTTTTTAATCCCCCAACACAAACATGTATTTGATTTTAAATAATTATGAGTTATCTGTAAGGGACACTAAAACACACTGGTATTTAATTAGAGAATGAAGATTTTCTGGGTTTTCTCAGATGGTTCTAATCACTTCTTAGTTTTATTCTTTTTTAAAAATGCCATTTATTAATGGTACAGTGCTACAGTTTGGAACTTAAATGTCTTCTAAAGGCTCATGTGTTAAAGACCTGTTCTCTATTGTGGTACTACTGGGAGATGCTAAAAGCTTTAAAAAGGTGGGGCCTAGTAGAAGTGTTCAAGTCATAGGAGTGGTCCTAAAAGGGGACTATGGAACCCTTTTCTCTTTCACACTCCAGCCATGAGAGGCATGGTTTTGCTTCACCATAAATCCTGTGCTGCCACAGGACCAAAACAATGGGGCCAACTGACCATGGTTTAAAATCTCTGAAACCATCGGCCAAAATAAACATTTTCTCTTTTAAGTTGATTACTTCAAATATTTGTTTTAGTAACAGAAATTATTAACACAAACAGGTTATGTTTAAATATCATACTTTGCCAAAATTTTTAAGAATGACTGCAAAGAAATGTTCAAGACACTTAATAGTGTCTTGAAAAAAAAGTAAATAATGAATGACATGTTATAACAGAATGTCAATATATTAAACCATTAGGCAATATTGATTATATTAGGAGGCTTTTCAATGTCTACGTTAAAGTATTTCTATAATACTTATATCTTCAACTTTTATGAAGACCTTTTTTTTTCCTGAGAGAAAAAACAAAGATATTTAAATATCAAACTATTTTATACACTTAAACTTATAAAATACAAAAATATCTAATATAAAACCACTAATTCCAGATTTTTTTAGTTTAGGAAATATAATCATTCCAGATATAAAATATGGAACGTATGAAAAATTTAAGTGAAGCAGAAACAAATACTGAACAAGGTATTCCTGGTACGTGAGTGATCTTCAATAGGTCATTCAACCTCTTTGAGCCTTAGCATTCTATTGAGTAAAAGGCAGCTTCCAAGTTCATGGTATTGATATGATATAAACTTAAGTAATTCATAATTTTTATGTAGAAATGCTTTGCAAAGTATAAAGAACTCACTAAACATAAATTTTAGTTTGAATGTAGGGGCTGAAATCTCTTAAAAAAGGAATAAATGAAAGCAGTAAAAAACATTTTGTGTTTATACAGAAAACGATTCCTACACCAGGAAGAGCTTAATTGGGGGCATAATCATCTTTGAATTTAAAAAAGAAAATTGGAAGGCTGGGGGTGTAGGTCAGTGGTAGAGCACATGCTTAGCTTGCACTGGGCCTTCGGTTCAAAGCCCAGTACCAAAAAGGTAAATACATAAACAAACAAATAAATAAAAATAAAAACTGGGGTATACAGATATGAGCTAGAAATTAAAAAGAAAAAGAAGAGGGGCTGGGATTGTGGCTCAGCGGTAGAGTGCTTGTCTCGAACGCACGGAACCCCGGGTTCAATCCTCAGCACCACATAAAAAAATAAATGAGTGAAATAAAGATATTGTGAATAAATATTTTTTAAAAAAGAAAGGCTTCAAAGACAAACTACCAAAGGCCCAATAATAAGGATAGACAGGAGACAGCACAGTTTATAAAAAAATCAAAGCATAACAGATGGAGCCTAACATTGTGCTCTGAGATCTGGAAGAGCTCCTCACAAGCTCCTCACAGGAGCTCTGAGATCTGGCAGCTCCTATCAAGAAAAAAAAAAAAAAAAAAATGGAAGCCACAAAGGGAGGAGATAGGACAAGAGCAACAAAGCTGATTATAGTGACAACTAGGGACACAAGCAGGGGAGGGTGTTGGGAGAGAGGAAGAAACAGGAAGAAGAAGAGTAAGTAAGGCCTTAGTTGATCAGAAAATATTTAAGTTTCTAGAAAATCAATTCTATTCCTCACAGTGACAGATCCTGAATCAGATGTTTTGACACTTTGGGTCTCAGTTTTCCTCATCTGTAAAATGTGGATAACTCTCCATAGTACTAATAACAAATTTTTAAATATTAATAGATAACCTGTTCCTAATAGTGTCCTGCTGCTGCAGGTTTTCAATATATTGTGGGTATTAAGATCCCATGAATTCCTCCCATCCCAAAGCACAAGCACACCTACTGTTGGGGCTAAGTTCAGGTTGTATGAGCAACCAAGAGTGGGGTTTTAGAAGAGTGTTTAACATTCTATTCTGCACACAGGACACTTCAGCAAAGGAGGATTAAGGGTTCTGCCTAAAGACACAGAAAATTCCTGTTACAGAATTAAAAGCAAATATCTGGAGCTGGAGGTATAGTTCAAAGGTGGATTGTGTACATTGTGTACATCCCATACACAAGGCCCTGGGTTTAATCCCAGCGTGCATGCACACACAACATACACATCTCTACCCTTAGTAGAGCTCTTTTTCCTGCATCACAAGTAGAGGGTCTGAGCAGGTCATGAGCAGTTGGGAGGCTCATGGCTAGTTAAAGCATAACTGGAGGGACCATGAGATCTTAGCAGTGGTCTTACTTATAAAGTATCATAGAAGCACAAGAGATAACAGCAAACCATTCTCAGGAAAATAGGGAGGATTAGAATAGTTAAAATACCCTGGGTGAATGCAGATGAATGAAATTTGAAGAGCTTCGTTTTGAGAAAATATTTGGGAATTTTAAGTAGAGTTACAAACAGGTACATGTCAAGAGTTTGTGATTTATGCAAAGCTACTGTAAGAACAGAACTTGTCCTTAGCAAGTTCCGAAGAATAAAAGATAGTCATTTTGCTTAAGAGTCCTTACTGGCACCAGGCTATGCTATAAACTCCTGAGGTTAATAACAGTTTATCTATTTTCAGTCTCCAAAGTGTAAGGCATACAGAGCACATTTAACTAATTCTGGTTAATAAAACTGAATTAGAAATTTTAAAATGATACAGCATGGAGGTTAAGGGCTCCCAAAGCATGACAGTCAAAGTTGGAATTCCTGCTTCTACCACAGGCCAGCAATGCCAAACTTTTAATAAATAATTGCACTTTCCTGTGTTTCAGATTCTTCATCTGTAGAATAGAGATTATAATGGTGTGAGAATTAAATGAATATGAAGACAGCAATCAGATACTGCAAGGTATGTGGTATTAATAAAAATTTGCTGCAATTGTGAACTATTATTCAAAATGGGACTGTTATTACTGAATTGAGAAAAACCTTTAAAATAGTTATCCAAGTTCCAGAGAACAAGTAATTTGTGAAGGATCATGTATCAGGTAAGGGTTACCTCCCCACAGTTTCTGCAGAAAACCCTTATGTGTGTAATTCCTGGAGAACAGAGAGCCCTAATGTCCCCTCCTCCTTATAGAAAAAGGAGTGCAAGGCATCCTCTGGTAGCTAAAAGTCCAATAAAGTTAGAAAGGATTGTTCAGGAATTCCAAAGAGTACCTAACTAACGGTCAAGAAAAAAAAAATCAAGATAATTCCTTTAAATTACGGGTAATACTAACTCTAATGCCCCTGCTTGAGGTCTCTGCTCCACCATCACCCAAATCCAGTAGCCCTAGATCCCTCTACCACACTTAAAAAGCCTTGCAATTTGGCTGCGCAGTCTACATTAGGGGGAAAAAAACAAACAAACAAAAAAAAAAAAAACAGGGAGGTGGGCGGGGGAGGAAAGGGAAAAGCGCCCGGATGCTGAAAGACACCTAATATTTCTTCTTTCTTCCTCACCGCCTGCACTAGTTTTGACCACTTAATCCGGGGCCCAAATCTAAGAAGAAAATGCCTCACTCCTGCCACTGGGTCTGGGTAGTTTGACCACACTCAGTATCGGGCGAAGGCCTGCGGTCGCCGCACCTGGCGTTGGAGCCAAGAATGGTGAGGCTAGCAGGCTGTTAGGCGGAGAACGTGACCTTGTTTTCTGGGCCTGTCTTGTGGCGCTCCCTGCCCCCATTCCTAAGCGAATACAAGAAAGAATCTGGGCGTCTGAATCTTTTTTCTTCCATGCCCCAAAATGTTAAGACCAAAATTAACCTAGGAAACCATCCAACGCAGAAATCGATGGGAGCAAACCCCACTCCATCAGTAATTTTCGTGCGTTCTTAAAGGTAGCGAACCTGCCTCCAAACGAGTCACTCTCGCACAAACCGGCCCAATTTGGTGCACATCTCAACCTACACATGTGCTGAAAATGCTGAGTCACTCGACGCGTAGGCTCCGCTCTAAAGATGCGGACACCTTTAAAGATGGGTACCGGTCCTGGGGATGCGGACTTAAAAAGGTCCGCAGTTAGAAGGTCCAGGGACCCTTGTAATAGTGAAGGGTGTTCGGGGTTAAGTGATTCTGGGACCTCCCTCCCTCGCAGACCCTCCGGTGTCTGGGGGCTGCCATCACGACTTCCTCCTCCGCGCCCCCGCCCAGCCCCTCTCCCCTCCTCCTTCCCGCGCCCGGCGTACTCACTGGGACCCTGTCCGGATATTTCTTCCGGATCTTTTCTCCTTCCTTTTTCCGATACTCAAAGGGATGGTCCTCCTTATACTGGAACTTCATAATGGACCGCAGGATTTCTAAGATCCCGGGATGGGGCCTGCCTTCCTCGCTGGCGATTGCGTCTGTCGCGTCTTGCTATCCTCTGCCAATGTCACTGTTCTCAGAATCGCTCCAGAAACGGCCCCGTCGCAGTACTATCTGGCCCAGCGTTTGTTAGAGGATTTTGGGTCTCCTTGGCCTGGAGGTGGGGGCGCTGGCCAAGTAAAGAAATTCAGGCGGCTTTCCCGAAGAGCAGAGAACACAAAAACACAGGGGCAGCGCGTCGGTGCTGTGACGTCACAGCGCACCGCCCTCTGCCCCGCCCCCTGCGTTCTGGGCACCGCGGGATAGGGGTAGACAGAGTTATTTTCTATTTCATTTTATTCTGTGTGTGTCTAAACTTTTCCTAAATAGACTCCACTGAAAACAAAACTAAGTTATATTTGGTTTTGTATTTGGTGCTGTGACATTAAAGATCATTTTAAAAGCAAAAGAACATTCTAAAAATGTCTTCTTCCCTCTCCTTCACGTTTCTTGGTTGAGGCCCAAAACAAATACACCGGACACTAACCCTGGTTGGGATTCGGAGTGGAGGGAAAAGCGACAGGGCCTCCTGGGATCCGCTTGGCCGAAGTAGAGACATCCCGTGCTTGCATTTTGACCTTTGCCGGTTCGGTTGCACTCGCCTTGGCATCCCAAAATGCTAGGCTGGCCTCCGTGATCCCGCCCTCCCCACATTGGCGTCATTTTGTTTGGATTGGTGCTGCAATTTGTTCGTAGAACAGCAGCATAAACAGAGCGTGACTCAGGAATTTGAAAGGGTGTGCAAAGCAAAGGGCATGAAGGGTAATGAAGGTTCGGAGAAGGAAACGGTATCAGTGACTACTACTGTGGTGACCGTGCACGTTCAAATGTAGACATGATTCACTTTCCCCTGTTTACCTAGAAGTTAGGCTTATCTTTTGGAAATGAAAACATCGAGTCTTTTAGATGATTAACTGTGGTGCCCAAATTTTCTTTTCCTCTCCTGCAACAATTCATAAAAAAAAAAAAAAAACAACAAAACAGTTTTACTGGTTACATGACCTCCTGCGGATTGAGAACGCAGCTGGAATGCTGATGAAAGACTCCAGGTGGTGGGGCAGGTGAGGGAGGTAAGGCATTTCTCTGGCACTCCGTTTCCCTCCTAAACCAAAGGACTAAGGCCTTTGCACATGGTCCTATTGGCACTGATTCCTGGAATCTGTAAGAGGAGGGCAGCAGCAGAAATGGTAAAGATACAGAGTAGAAGGGTTGCTTTGCCATTTGCAATTCAGGTGGGTTTTGAAAAATATTGGACAACAGCAGCACCTCTCGTCTTTGATCAGTGTCTCAGTGTCTGTTTTAGAAAATAAAGCCACAAAATAAAAGAAACTAAGTTTCATTATTGAAACTCTGAAAAATGAATTGCAAAGTTGCCCTTCTTAATGTTAATTTATTATTCTCCGTGGCATCTCTGAGCCTTTTTTAATACATGAAAAATTATTAATTATTGTATCACATTATGTGTTTATAATTTTTAGACCTTATTTTCAAATTGTAAATAGTTGCATTCTTAGTTACTGACTTTAACTTTGACCCATAGAGAGCTAAATCTTCCAAAGGAGAACTTTACAACACGTTGAAGTCAATTATGGTGGAGATTTAAAATTTAAGAGCATTGGAAAGGTTACCTGTAACCTTTAGTTTAAAGATACTTCAGCACAAAACACTTTATAGTATGAAAAATAATTTAGAAATGAAACTTTGATTAATCTTTCTGCCACAAGACTTTTCCAATACTAATACTTTATATTAGAATACAAAATCTATTTCCAAAGTGTGCATTTTATCTTTATTCTCAGTATGGCATTTAAAATATTATACAGAAGCTAGTTTACTTATGTAAATTAATACATTCAGGCAAAATATTTTAAAATTCCTTTTTCAACCAGACAAAATGCTATTTTAAAAAACTAATTTTCAAATTTTTTTTTGTAATAGTCTTTTTTTATGTTTTTAATAGTGGAAAAAATTTCCAATCTTTTATGAATATTTTTAAATAGATAATTTCAAACCCTAATTAAAGATCATTTTAAAAGCAAAAGAACATTCTAAAAATGTCTTCT